ATTAAACCTAAATAATAAAAATATATTTTCATTTTCAAAAATCCATTCGACTATAACATGTGGCATGCCTTAATATGGTCATGATGACATGACCATATATAGGCACATCATGACTATATATGGGCATACAGCAGTTTTTGGTCAAAATGGAAATATGATAATTTTGATAGAGCTTTAAATTGCTATTGACAATCAGCATTTGTGAGTATAATTTATTGGGTTTATTGTTACAGAATTAAATAAAATCATAATTATTACTGGCCCGTAGGGAGATTTTTTATGGTTCGGAAGAAATCACCTTTTCTAGCGAACCCCCCTCTTTTCTGGAAAAAACTACCCCACCCCTTGAATTTTCTGAATGAGTCCTCCACCCAACTAATGCACTGCAGACCCACCTAGACTCAGAATGTTTTGCTGCAGACCTTTTTCAAACATAACTGCTTTTATATCATTATTTAGACCCATAAAACACAAAAATCTTTGGGGCCTTTGCTCCTTCCCCACCCCACCGGGGTCCTTGGGCAGGCCCCTGGACCCACGACCAGAGAACCCCCTCCCCTCCTTGGAATAACCTGGCTATGGGCTTGTACTACCACTGGATATTAAACAATCATTTCTGGCTTAAAACATGGTCTGCATTATACCAGCATTTTTTTCAGGCAGTCCAAGATATACTGACTTTAAGTGATAAATTTGTGATTATTATAGGACATGATTTAATGACGGGAAATAAAAAACGACAGTCATTAATCTGCCGATGAATGATTTATACCAAAAAATTGCCAGTTGTCATTGAACAGGGAAAAATACTTTAAAATATTAGTCAGTTCAATATTTGATATGTGACTGACTTGCTGTTATGTTAGTGTTGTTCTTTCTATTTATATTCATTTGATTTGAATTTGGTTTGATTTATTGAAATACGGCAAACATAAATTGAGATTGGAACATAAATATAAACCAAAGAAAGTAAACAAGACCAAGTAACAAATGCCAGGAGTTGTTACAAGTAAACTTGATCATTGAATAGCTACCAAGTTGGTGATGGCTACATAGCATGAGTTGTCACATCCACCTCAGCCCCAGCATGGTTGGTGGGAGAGGGTATGACATTGTTTTTAAGGACAGTAGTACCCCTGGGTGCACAGAAACGGCACTCTCATGTTTTGAAAAGTGTATCAAAGGTCTCGAAGGTTGGTCCTAAATAGAAGTTCTGCTGTACTACAGCAACTAAGACAAATTGCAATGCTGGAGTAATTAAACAGACTTTTTAAAAAAATGTTCATTTTTGTCAATTCTCTATTCCATTTGTTAGGGTACAAATGAAAAATATATATTTTCATTTAATTTAATTTGATATGATAAGTCAATAAATCTTTGCCGAGCCCAGTTTCAAGTAGCGTGAAGCGGATGAGTGTGTGATGCTCCCCCTGGGGGAGGATGCTGATCCACCGCAGGTTACCCCCAGCAATTCACTGCTACCCATTTACAGCCGGGTAAGACTGAAACAATGTAGATGAAGTGCCTTATTCTTAAGGACATGAATGATACGCGTAGCGAAAGCTTGAAACCTCGACTTCAAGGTTGGGAAAACCAAATTTCCACTGTGCTGAACTGCCTCCACGCCAATAACAATTCAACAATTCGCTACCATTGCCATTTTAATTTCCAAGTAGATGACGTCAGAAAACGCTATTTGTCAAATAACATTGCTTGTTTACAGTAATTGGAAACGCCACATTGAAGGGTATATCTTAACCAGGATGTGGTCAACCCAATAGCTGGATGGTTATTTATTAGCACTCCATGAGTACACAAAGTCCAGTATTGTGTGCATTATTGTGTAAATTCATTCATGTCATTGTTTTTGTGGAGGTTTTTTTTGAGCCTCTTGAGTTTGGTTTGGTCATCTTTTTTGTCATATTTCCCTTTCTGTTTTGTTTCCTCAAAAGCGCATTTATGCTTTCATTTGATAATTGTACTCCTTTTCATCTTTTTCAATAACTGCCGCTCTGGAAGAAGTGCCACACTATAAATCCTCAAAAAAATTATATAAAGGGATGGACAAATTCTTGTAAGTAAACCATTAATATACGTTCTGTTTGTGACTTTTCGATCTTTGCCAATGAACCTTCATCAGACGATGACTGGTTTGCTAATTATTGTCGTTTCCCGATGTTGAAAACATGAAAACAAACTTTCTAATAATTACAACCAACTTATCAGTCCTGAAGCTACTGGTGACATCGGGAAATGTCAACAGCCAGTAAACCATGCATTGTCTAATGAAGATCCACGAATCGAAACGTCTCGAATAGTATGTACATTATTGGTTTGCTTCACCAATTTAAATTTTCTGTTAGTTTCTCCCATTTGCAAATTTACCATTGCCTCCATACAAACAAACTTGAAAGTGATGCAACCAGCATCATCAAACTTGTCAAATTTTATTTGCTCATCTTCAGGAATTAAGTACACATAATTTTGGTTTATTACATTTCACGTGTAGAGGGCTCACTCCAAGATTTTAAAGTTCTTCACAATATTTTTTTTAAATTTTAATTTATTACTACGCCACTTTTTTTTTGTGCTGCCACTGATAAAAAATAAATAATTTTATCAAAGTTTGTATTTTTAACAATTTCCAATTTCTCAGACATTGTGTATTTTTTTTGTTCATTATTTTTGCTTATTTAAATATGTAAACAAATTGTCTGATAGCTTAGTATAAAACATACTCCAAATAAAGTGAGACTAGTCATTTTGATTCAATATTTCGATCTTTTATTAGATCATTATCAGGAATAAATAAAGATTTCAACATTACAAACATATTTTCCAAAATAAATTGTTTGATTGTAGCTTCATTTTTAACAATCAAATGAAGGTTTGTTTTGAGATATTTTATTTATAAATCCATGAGATATATGTCTATGTAATGTTACTTTGAAATTCTTTGAATTAAAAAATGCTTGGCGATAGAATTTCTGTTTGAAAATTAGGTGAGGAAAAAAGAGTTTATATTTCCTGATAAGCGTTCAGAGGTTAACAAGCCATATCCTGGCCTGACTATGGTGCCAAGCAGAGAGCAGATTTAGTTGCACCACTTGATAATATGTAATCTTGTATCAGCACTCTTTAACCGGTTGGAGCTGTCATTGAAAATAAGAGTGATTGTAATTTAATAAGTTTAATTAGACTCAATGGTTGCATTGTGATCTTGTGGGGGTGCATTTGCTGGGGCATATCCGGGAATTAAGAGAAAGGGACTACTGAGTTCAAATCGTAAAGGAGGCCAGTCTGCCAATTTATAATCTGATGACAGATAATCTGGTCGGGACCTCGAGTCAAAGCTAATGCGCCCTCTATAATAATTTTTTTATTTGCGATTATAGGTTACGGTATAGCCTAAAATTGAAAACTTTAGCTAATTAGGCCTATCATGTGTCCGTTATTTGTACAGTGGTGTATCTACCAGCCCCCCTCCCCATTTTAAACATTCAAAAATTTGTTACTTTGTTAATGTTCCTGAATTTGCCTTCAAATGCCTATTCATGGTCTTAGAAAAATCAGTTTTACAACATGTTCTATCAATTTTTTTTTCGCTCTAGAGCCTAACGAACTACCACCAACGCCAGTCGTTAAAATGAGCGCACATGTTTACGATGACGAAATAAAAAAGTGTGTGGAAGTCAGCAACTTATTTGACACGGAGAAGCTAGATTTTCGCGAAGTGCATGTAAACAACACAATTGAGCGATCTAAAAACTACAAAACAGGACAGAAAGATCCATAAAGTATACATACGTTTTAATGAAAATTAAAACAATATTTTGTTAAATGGAAGAATGCTAGCTAGCGATTAAAATAATTCATTTTTTATCGAAGGTAAATGTAGCTAGGGCCTAGAGAATTTACTACTTAGATTGCGATAGAACACGCTGCTGCACTGTCGTTGGTTCGTACTGGTCGGCTAGGTTAGGTAGTGGAAACTCACACCTTCTCTACGGTAGTTTACAATTTTTAAAATACAGTAGATGTTTTATTAAACAAGCCTTTCCACCGTGTGACGTTGACGGCCTGAAACTGGCTGGCTGTTTATCTGGCTCTAACTTGGCATCGAACGCAATTAGGGGATTATCGTAATCGTTTCAAGACGAGTATATCCAGATAAAGTTCGACGTGAACCAGGCTATTATGTGGCTTTACCATAATTGCGTGTCACCAGTGTTGGATTCAGCCATCCTGCCCACCCTACCCCCTTCTAAATTTTTCAAAAATATAAGACAAATTGAGAAGAAAAGAAAATCATATTCAAATTGAAGTTTTAGAGTGCAATTTCTGGCCATCAAAAATTTCTGTAATCATAAGTTTCTTTTGAGACCAGTTGTCTGTTAAAATCCTTCCCTGGCCCTCTATACCTGGATTCGCCACTCGCCACTGAGTGTTTTCATCAAATTTTATTATTTATCAATAATAAAGCCAATACATTCATATATCCTTATGCTGTATACTGACCATGAACCTATACTAATGGGAACTTGATGTTAACACTCAGACTTTATTTATGGCATCTGTCTGAATTTCCTTAATATCAAGATAACATCATCTGATATTTGATAAACTTTCATTTAAGCTTGTATGAATTGTCTCTCAATGGTATCTTATAATGGTGGCAAGGAACTTAATGGAAGAAATTTGTCTAGCCTCTCAGTAAAATATCCTGCTGATAAGTATAAGTTAACCCTTAAGTTCAGATGGTTCAGACATATGATTTTCATGTTATAGTCTAAGCATATAACTAATATTTTCCAAAAATGTTTAATATTTTTCTAAAATGATATATTGAAATATTTAAATATATTTGATTTTTAAATTAAAATTTGAAATTGATAATATATTCCATGAATTTTACTTGATTTTTTGTATTTGTTAAGCCGAAAAAAAAAAGTATTGGTATATGGAAAAGAAAACTAAAAATCCCTTTCATTTTTGTGCAGCAAATTTCAGTGAGCCGATTGATAGTACAGTAGTAAAACCATGCCAATATCAAGCAAGAGATGGGTAAGTTTAATGGGGACTTTTTGGGGTACTTGGGACCCATATGAAATTGACACTTGAACAATTGTATTTTAATAAATATTATATTATAATATTAGACTTATTTAATTGACTTTAAAACTTTTTTTCAGAAATATTAATATCACTTTCATTCATTCTCTTTATTTTGAAAACAAGTTCATAGTAGTATACTGTAATATTAAAAATGTTCTTTACCAGAAATATATAATAAAAACATGGTTTTTGTTATTTATATATTTTGAATTTTTTGACAGAAAACATTGTTTTAATGTTTGCTACCATTTTAATTCCAATTGCAGTCAAATGAATTGAAATAATGGTTTTTGTTGTATAATTGTCAAGGAAAAAGAATCAAACGGAAGTTTTTTCCCCACAATGCTTTTAAATTTAAAAGGATATTCCCTGAGGTTGTTAAGATACACCTTGAAAGCTTCTGGCTCTGTTGCTCTAACCTGTGGCACAGTGTATTGTTCTTGTTTTCATGTGTGTCAATGTTTTCTTCCTGTAGAACCACGCGGCCACAAAAGCATAAACAAACATGTATTAGATATCCGGAAAGATTTAGAACAACATTGCGGCACTTGCCAATGTTATTGTAATTATCTACAACATCCGATGCTCTTTTTTTTTTCTTCTTTTTTTTTTATTTTCCTGGGGAATTTAACTAGTCCTGTACCATTCATACACAATAGTTATGTCAACTCTGTTTATTTTGAGAATACACACCTCATGTAAGCCACTAAACTGGCAACTGACTTTTGATGGTATTCAAGTGCTGTGTCTAGGCCTAGTAAGCCTTGCTAAATTCTCTCAAACAATATCTAGTGCATCACACCTAGGCATGGTTCCTGGGCGTGAATCCAACTCGGGCAAAAGATATTTTTCTGAAGGGATTACATGTCTCCCTCAAATTAAAAACTACTTTTGAGTTTTAGTGATTATTAGCAGGTTTGGTCTGTAATTAAAATACTGCATTGTAAGTTTTTTCCCAAAGTGTTTTTAGAATATTTGCAGTTTAATTATATGGTGTTATTCGTTTTTAATGAAAAATTTTGTGGTAGTCAGACAAGTCCTGTGCTCATTCTATGGAAATATCTGTTACATATCTGTTACAATTACAAAATTCACAATGCCAACACTATTGGAATTCATTATGGAACATTTATATACATAAATCATCATCATTTTCTTATGATGTGCATTATTTTTGGTGTATGTAATGATACATCATTTATTTTATTAGAAAAACTGCATTGACATGGGTTTCAAAGTGGTCTTTTAGAAGCGGGAAAACGTTCAATTGGGTCCACCAAAATAGTGGTCCCTAGAGAGAGTCTTTACAAGTAAAAGAGTAAAAGATAGTTGCTCAGAAAATTGGTCTTTAATTAGAGAGAGATCTGTGCAATTATTTTTTTTATTTATTCAGTTATAAAATGACATATTGTACAAAAATGAACTAAAGGCTGAATTTACTTTTTACTATGATAAATTAAGTTAATTTTTTTTTTCAAATAATACAGTATTGAACTTTAGTAGTTTCCTGTGATTTAGTAATTGAATCTCACATTCTGGTGAATAAGATGCTTGATTAGCCTGCAAGTTTTGCCAATTCTTTCCAACCAAATAAGTGTAGGTTAGTTGAGCTGATTAGACGCAATGAGGTCGTTTAATGGGAAAAGACAGTCAGTCCACAGAAGGAAAGGTTCATTCAATACCCAATACTCCTAGGATATTCCTTTTCCCAAGTTGACATTTTCACCTTTTGGATAATAAGTCAGCCTAAATTCCCATCACAAATCCGTTTACACTGGATTTGGCTATCCTGTTGTAAAATACAGCACTCTTCATCCAGCTGGGACCCGATATGTTGATAATAAATGATGAGTTTTATTAGATATGCCTATGTATGTCAACTGAGCTATATTTCACGAAAGCACACCTGGTTCTAAAATAGAGGATCGCTTCTCAGCTTAAAGCTTCTAGTAGCCGTAAAGGCTGCTCTGCCTTTGCTCGTTGTACGACTGAGGTCGTGACAAGGTTGTCATATTCTCTTCTGAGACTGATAAATCCAACTTATCATGCCGCCAGATATAGGTTTTGAATTTTATGCACTTTCTTTGGGTTTCTTTAAATACTACTTTTGTCGTCTGGGGCAATTTTTCCCCTTTCTCACCCTCTCCCAAAATATTAAATTTTAGGGTAGAAGAGGAAGGGGTCACAAAGGTACTGTATATAGCCTTCTGAGACTGATAAATCCAATGTATCATGCCACCAGATATAGGTTTTGAAATTGCTTAACTTTCAGTGGGTTACTGAAAAATGTTATCATGGCTTTATGTGGAAGTCTATTCTGTCCATTTCCCACCCTCTCCCAAAAATGTTAATTTTAGGGTCAAAGAAGAAGGGGTCATAAAGATATATAGCCTTCTGAGACTGATAAATCCAAGTTATCATGCTACCACAAAAAGTTTTTGAAACTTTATGAACTTTCAGTGGGTTCCTACGAATGACTATTCTGTTATCAGGGGACCCATCTGGAAATAAGTTTCTTTGCAGGGACACAGATGGTTACTCCAGTAACGGTTATTTTCTTAATAATAATAATAGCCTAATAATAATCTGTATTTATAAAGCGCAAAACAATATCCATTGAAAATGATCACAGGCGGTACAATATTTAAAACCATTAAGTACAATTAATATGTTAGAAATATTTAAATTGTTTTGTGTGCAAGCTATAAAAACATTATCCATATGCACAACAACATGCACCAACGATACAGTTCAGACGTGAGTGCAAAATCAATGAGGTTCCTATCCTGGTACATTTATATAAGTCCTTGGTCTGTCATAGTGTGAAAAATGTACAAAATTCAATTTAAACATTTAATATCTCATATAAATAGAACAAATGTGTTATAACTTCTAAAAAATCTAAACAAAAGTTTACATTGCTGATTTCCAGGAATATTTAAAAAAAAAATCCTTAACTAATTGAATAATTTAAATGACTTGGCAAGAAATAGAAGGACTGTGTTATTTATGCATCGGTTTATTGATTAGGAATATTTCCCCCCATTCTAATGTTCAACAGAAAGCTAACAAAGTAAGGTTCAAGCACAGCTTTCAGGCTACTTTATGCATGCTGAAGATACTACAGTACATCCGAGGGTGAAAACAATTGAGATGGCCCCTTTAACTTGCCCTACATCTGCCTAAGCATTCTCATTACTCACAAAAATTTTCTCTACACCTGAAGCAAAGCAGGATAATGCATCTCAATAATGAAAAAATTCATAAATTAACAACACACACTGGATAATGAACTTCTACAGAAATTCACACCTGTGTCCTAAATTCCAACTATTCAGGAAACAAATGCAAATTTCGTAAGACAATCACCTTTTTGGCGCATTGACAGATATAAGTCATTTTGTGGCCGACAACAGATGCCGATCTTGAAGCAGTTTCATAAAGTAATCAATCACGCCAATTTCGGAAATTACTTTTCCTGTCAGTCGAGTCTTTCATTAAATTGACAGAAAAACTTTTTGAGCAGAGCAATCTACAATCATGTGTACATTCCATAAAAAAAGGGCACTGGTTATTGTTACACCAGTCTTATATACAAATTCCTAATTCTGATTGGATGTTATTGTCCTAATTCAATCCATACATCCAATCAGAATCAGGTATTGTGTGTGACTGGTGTAGCATTAGTAACTGTGTAAAAAATATTTTTATTATTGGAAGCTCATAACATATTTGATCCTTTTAATTAAGATAATTTGTCATTAATTTTGAGGGTTTGTTTTAGACTTAAATTTATTTTATATTTAAAACTCTTGTGCAGTAACCCAGAAGCACTAGGCTAAGGCAGAAGCTGTTGTTACATCGAACTTACCATTGGTATCTGCGTATATCCAATTGTAAAAATGACGCTGCCTCGATGCCGGTTGGTGGACCCCCGTTTCCAAAGCAGCATTTATTTTATTCATTGTGTACATACAATTGTTTTCTTGGTTGATACTTATTATAGAACAACCATCATTGGTTTATTGTTTTTTTTTTTTTTGGTTTTTTTTTAATTATCTCTGAGTGCTTTGTATCATAGAACAGAAAAGGTGTGATACCAAACGTGTGACCATTACATTAAAAACAAAATCAAATTTATGGTAGCACCAAAAATGAAGTGATTGGGAAACTCTATTATTGTTTTACTTACCTTAATGCATTGTTTGCAACTACATGGAAAAACTGTGTGAACATAACTGTTCAGGAGTTTTAACCACCAGGAGACATTTTAAGTGTCGGCTTACGTATTGCCTGCGCTAAATGACCAACTTTCACAGTCTTTAAAGCCCACCACTGCTTGACTATGACCCCAATCATGGAGGGGAGCTAGGCAGCCCCCGAAGTCACATCATTCGACAGAGAAATCTTGCCGCCTAGGGTGACCTGGATGGAAAATTATAAGAAACAAAAACATGTGTCAAAGTGTTTGGTATCAAAAATTAAATGGCTTTTCGGTGTACAAGTTTCTTAGGCCCCTCTAGCTATCAGTATCGTTCATTAGTTGTTCTCTGATGGTTATAACTGGATGTTTTCTCTCCTCTACACGTTCCATTAGGATGGTACACAATGGTACTGTACTGCTATATTTGAAAAAATAGAGTCATAAGTGTAGTTTAGGGCTGGCCGAAGGTTTTTCAAAGCAGGGCGGGAAGGTTTGGGGGGGGGGGCACTAGCATTTCTTTCTGATGGTACAAAAATCTGCATAGAAATTTTTCTGCCAAAAAGTGGGGGCCTGGGCCCCCCACCCCGGTGACGCCGGCCATGTAGTGCAGGTACAGTAATAAAATATAATGACCCTTTCCCTTGCATGTTGTTGCTGGGGTCCCACAAAATCGCAGCGAGCATGTGCATTTGTGAACAACACGTTATTATTATTGGCTTTATTGTTTTTCTGGCCGTTTTCTGAT